TTATTAATTTTTTTAATAAATAAATATCTAGTTATATATTATAAATTGTATAAATTTTATTTAATTCTAATGATACTGCTATGCCATAGTTACATAATTTCTAATTTTAGTTATTTTTGCAACATACTGTAACTATTAAATATAAACTTTTAACATTATTTGATTTAAAAAAAATAAATGCTATTAATTGTATTAGTAAATTATATAATGATTTTTTTTTAAAAAAAAATTATAATATTTTTTTTTTACATTTTTTTTAAAATTAATAAAATTTAAATAAAATTAGTTATGTAAGGTTAATAATTATATAAAAACATTTATAAACTTAATAATTTTAGTTAGAACCTTTATTTTACTATTTTTTAGAATATTCTTCTAGTATAAATGCTAAATATATTGAATAATCTGTTAAAAAAAAACTTGATCTAAAATACAAATTATTAAAAATATATTTACTTATTAATATTTTATATCTTTAATATTATTAATAAATAATATACTTTGCATAAAACTAAAAATATTGTCTTTTGAAGTTTTACTATAATATTTTTTTAACAGTTCAGTTTTTTAATATTGTTAACTAAAGAATCATTAGAAAAAGTTGTATAAATTAATAATATATGTATTTGTATAATTAAAATTTATATCTTATAAGTTAGTAATTAAACTTTTAAATTTTATAATCAGGTTAATAGTTTAAATTAAGCTAAAATTGAAAAATACTCTAATTTAAAAAAAAATCCTAATTAAATATAAAACTCTAAACTCTAAAAAATCCAAATATAGTAAAGGCAAGAATAGAAATTCTTAAAAAAGATTAAGATTATAAAATACAAACATTATATATAAGTGTCGCTAAAAGAAACCCGACAATTTAAATGATTTATATTTTAAATTTTCGGGTTTTTTAGTAACACTCACATAATAGCAATATTACAGAAAATTTAATTATATAAAGATTATATACAATGTTGCAAAAAAAAAAGAGAACTTTTCAAGCCAAAATGAAGGATTGCTTTATTTGGGTCCAATTTTATTAGTAAAACATAACAATTTTAGTCAAATTTCCTGTTCCAAAATCTAGAAGATTGTTTTTATTCGGTAATTGGTAACATGGTAATCGTAACAATCGTTATCTATTATATATAAAACTGGGAATTGACATAAATCAATCAATCAATTACGAAATTAGAATTTGAAAATCAAAACTGAATAATTACGATTGATTAATCAAGTTTTAGCTTTTAAAAATTATTTAAGAACTTTTTTATATGTATATATATACGTATAAGTTATAAATAGACAATTATTTACAAACCAATATTATTATTAATCATACGCATGTTTATTTCTATGTCTATATCATTTACCTATCATACCTATCACTATACCTATCACCATACCTATCATTATATCTATCAGCATACCTATCGTTATACCTATCATTATACCTATCACCACCAAATCCATCGCGTTCATGATCATATTCACGCCTATCACCACGATCATAAAATCGAGGAGGAGGGTAACCTCTATCCGATGCATTATAATCATCTCTTTCCTGAGGTAATGGATATTCTCGTTCCGGCGATAAATATCCACGATCTCTTGGAATATAGCCACCTCTTTGTGGGCCTTCAGATGAAAATTGCATAGGAAGAGGATCTTTTGATAGAAATGGTTGATTTATTTGGTTTGCATTACGTTTTGTCTGATCATAACGATAACCAGCCATTTCGATTAATGGTATTTTTTTATTGAGAGTTAATGCAGGATCTGAAGGTGGTGGATAACCAAATTTTGAACGAGACATATCATGTTGGATATGTTTAGGGTTATGTAATGGGTATCGATCTTCACGATATTGAGAAGAGTAATATCGTGGTGGAGGTGGAGGTATATCATCATGTAAATATCGACCATTTGAATCCTCGCGTTCTCGGTAACCATTTTGACCATGTCTTGGTATTGGACTTGGACCTGGACGTAAATCATAACCTGGATCATTCCGAGAACTATTTTGGTATGAATCATAACGTATGTTAGGGGTATTTTGCACGACACGTGCCTGATGCCTTATTGTTCTTGTCATTTGTATTGGTACATCATCACTATCATACATAGATATTCGTCTTTCATCATCATCATCAGAAGAAGATAAATCATCGGATAAAGATACATTACTACGAGCCTTCGCGAGGAGTTTAGGTGCGGTATTTTTTCGGTTTGAATCTGTTACTTTGGAACGAGTACTAACCCTGGAATAAGTACTATTACTGGTAATACTTTCCTGGTTTGATGATACTGACTGTGAATCACTAGCAGTTTCATTAATTGCGCTTGGGACTTTTTTCTTTCGTCTTGAATTTGGTACTCTGGAATTATTACTAATTCTGGAATGATTACTAACTCTGGAATGATTACTAATACTAGAATGATTACTAGCTCTAGAATGAGTACTATTACTGGTAATGCTTTCCTGGTTTGATGATATCGATTGTGAATCGCTAGCAGTTTCATTAATTGCTTTTGAAGATTTTTTTTTTCGTCTTGAATCTATTGTTTTGGAATGAATATCATTACTTTCCTGATTTGAAGATATTGATAGTGACTCGCTAGCAGTTTCGTTAATTGCGCTTGGTATATTTAAACCATATTTTCTACCTAAGGGAATTATATCACTGTCCGTAGAAAGGACTGACAAACGAGTTGCTAAATTAGCATTTGGAGATAAAAATTGTCTGTTTATTGGATCTCTACGTATTAGTTCATTATTAGCTCGTTCACTTTGTGAACTAGACTTTGAAGAAATGGAAGAAGTATGAGAGCCATCTCTTGAATGTTTATAACCATCTCTTGGATCTTTATAATCATTTCTTAGATCCCTATAATCATCTCTCGGATCCCTATAATCGTTTCTTGGATCCCTATAATTGTTTCTTGGATCCCTATAATCGTTTCTTGGATCCCTATAATCATTTCTTGGATCCCTATAATCATTTCTTGGATCCCTATAATCGTTTCTTGGATCCCTATAATCGTTTCTTGGATCCCTATAATCATTTCTTGGATCTCTATAATCATTTCTTGGATCCCTATAATCATCTCTTGGATCCCTATAATCATCTCTTGGATATCTATCTCTCTCACGATAATCGTCATAAGTACGATCAGGATGATCTCTTTCATATCTTCCGTTATGATCATATCTATCATCATCTGGATAACCATATAAATGATGTTGTGGTGGAGACATATGTATTGCCCTCGCCTCCATTCGATGTCTATCCTTCATTCTATCAAGTACATTATTTACACCATCACTGGGATTCACGTCTTGAACCCAATCTTCTACAATTACAGTTTTTTGAGAGACTTCTTTTCTGGATTGAATGAGAGGATTTCCACCGTTAACATTATGGTTAAAATTAGGGTTAACATTAGGGTTAACGTTAGGGTTAACGTTAGGGTTAGCGTTAGGGTTAACGTTAGGGTTAACGTTAGAGGTTTGATCATCACTACTATCACTACTGTCTTTTAATTGCTTTTTATTTTTTTGCATTAATTTCTTTGATTTTTTTCTGTAAAGACTATCATCACTTGATTCACTATCACTAGAAACACTTTCACTTTCAGTTTCAGAGTCATCGCTATCCAATTGTTTTTTTACTTTAGAATTATTATTATAAGTTGCAAAGTTATTAGATCGATCGTTACTTGTTGTTGAACTTGTATCGTGAAGAACCATTTGTTTTGAGATTAAAGTTCTTAAACCTCCCGAAGAACGAGAGGCCGAAGATCGATGAGATAGACGACGATTATGTTTACTTGCTGAAAATTTAAAGTAAATATAAATAATAAACTAGAGAATTATTTTAAGTGATATTAAGCATACCTTTCGTTCCCACTAAACTCAACTCGTTAAATATTTCGTTTAACAGACCGTCAGTTTTTTGATCATTTTGTACAGAGGTCAAAGGAGAAATCTCTTTTTGAAACGGAATAATAGACTCCGATTGAGAGTGATTCAAAGACAGTCTTGGAGACCCATTTTTCGTTAGAGTCGATGGTATTGGAGTTGAAGGATTTTCGTTATCATTAGAAGAACGTTTTTTCTTACCGAACAATAAATTGAGCTTTCCCATTAATACCAAAGGAATTAAGAAAATATATAAAGTGTGATATTTAAATTTTATCTTTGTTTGTTTAGTATATATATTTACAGATGAAACCCAAACTCCATCAAACAAGTTTGTAGCCAGCCAAACTTTTTAGTAAAACACCACGCTCTTGATTTTTTTTTTTTTTTTGCAAACCAAATTTGATTATTTCCATGTTTATAACTTTTTAATGAGGAAGATCAGCACAATGTGATAAAACCGATTATGTCCGATTACGTTTTAATGTTATTTTTAACAACCACTTTATAGGTTCATATGTATGTAGTGTCTTTGTAAATTAATGATTTAAATGTTGCTTATGTGATCGTATCATGAAAAGTTAATTGATGCATCTTTTTCCCAACGTTTAGGCTGATGATTTTCTGATTGATTGATGAATGCATTTTTGGATTAAAAACAACACATAATCGATGCCTTTGCAGAATTTGTTTGGTACATACCGGTACATACTGATACATATGTATGTATTTGTATAAGATGTACGGTTGGTTATACTTTTAAATTATTTAAATTAGGTGGAAATCTCAACTATTCTTTGCAAAGATCGATTTTCGAAGACAATAGCAAAATAAGGAAATGATATGTATAGTTGTTTATGACACATTGCATTATAATTTATAATACTTTTGGATTGCAGATTTTGGCCAAAGTCATGGAGTTTGTTAGTGTTTTTTTTTCGGATAATCCTTTATGCCAATCCTTTGTTTTCTATCAATAGATCGCTCTAATTGGTGATTTTACGACTAATTGGAATAATTGGGAATAATTGAGAATAATTGAAAATAATTGATATAATTGATGTATGATAATATGAAAGCAAAAATAATAAGTAAGATCGTTTCTTATTATTGATTTTTTTTTTTTTTTGACCAACCTTTGTTAATTAGTTAATATTTGGAATGGCATTATTGCTATATCGATATATATTATTATAAAATATATACGTATATTGATAGACTTAAAATTTTTTAAACAAGATTCTACGTAAGCTTTGTTAAATTGCCTTGTTAAGAAAATAAAAGCTCCGAATGCAGGAATACTTTCATTCAACCTAGCATACCCAATACGTGATTGTTGAACTTAGCATACCAATAGGTGATTGTTGAGAGTTTTACTATTGTCATTGTAAAAGATAAATGATAATCGGAAGATTTTAATCTTGTGCACTATATTGGTATTACCTATACTAGCAAAAATAAAACCAAAAGTAGTTGTATACCGTAAACAGCTGATCAGTTATCAGTTATACGGATTTAAATACTGTAATCGGAGTATTTTTTGGTGAGATACAAAACAAAAATAAATAATTAACTCTGCCTCCAAATTTTCGCTGGATTTAAGGCTCTGAAGTTTGCGGGTACGTACGTGCAGGGCTCCAAATAACATGTCAAAATCTGCAATTTTGATTGGTTGAACCTTATTCTAACCAATTAGAATTGCAGAAAGGTGGATAATAACCTGCGTACCATAACTATAAAACGAAAAGAAATCGAAATTATTTCAATTTTAACTATTAGTGTTAGAGTTAGGATTTAAAGTTGTATATAATATCAAAAAAAAAAGTTTTTTTTGGATGTATAATATTGCAATATATAATTTTATTTATAGTAATTATTTGAGTTTAATAAACGTACATATTAAATAAAATAATTTACTGCTATTGCAATGTTCGATTATTTTTTAATTAAATTACAACAAAACATTTTTAATAAACAAACAATAACTAAGTTAAAGTTACATTAAATTAATAATTAAAATTTTTTAATTTAAAATTTTATAAATTTATAACCAAAATTCTAAGAATATAGAATAATGTGATTTGGATCTATTACACCTACTAAAAACCTACATATCTGATATACTCTTTTATTATCAATTCTGATCCTAAATTCTATTCTAACTATTATAAAAAAGGCACCCTCAAAAAAAGTATAAAATTTTGTATTAAAATAGGTTCCCAAAACCAGCATCAGCCGTGACAATTATTATATATGATTTGAAAATTTTACCGCAATTTTAAAGTTAAAATTAAACTTTATGGTTAGGGTTGAAGTAGAAATTAAATGATTGTCACACTTAAATTTTATATTAAAATTTGAGTCAAAAATGCTTCCCAACCCTTTACATATTCCCTAGCATTTGAAGGTTCTTCTCACAAAATTTTAGGGGTGGTTAAAAATAAACCGACAAATAAAACGACAACTAATCTTCATTTACGGCGAATACAATTTTTTTACGGTTTAATGCACCTCATTTAACCAAAAACGGGGGGATCGCTAAAGCCTGTATCCACGTGACCACGCCATTTTAATTAATATTAAAGACCAGAATCAATTTAATGTTATAGCTTAGAGAAAGATTATACGTAAATTTGCCTTTCCGACATTTTTTGTTAATGCCTCAGGGAAGGTTAGACTGCCGTTTTTCGTATTTTTGCATTTTCTTTATTGTTTGACTTCTTCGGGACAAACAAAATTTCACGATTTTATTTACACAAAAAAAAGTCACGTGGGTACATGCTATGCGGACTGTGTGCGGCATCCGCACAGTAAATTTTAACTGAAAAATTAACATTGATAAGCAAACCTTTACTCTCAAATTAAACTGATTATTTCTTTTTTATTAAATAAGACCAGAAAGCATACTTTTCTTGGATTTTTATATATAAATTTAAGTGTGAAATTATCTGATCTATAATAAAAATTTTATACACGTGTCTGCGTGACAAATTGTATTACTGCTATAATATAGATTAAATTTTACGTATTAAGTAGTGGGTCATAGTTAAGGGTATAAATTTCAAGGGGTGAGAAAAGTCTTTATTTTATCGACTTTACTGTCATCAGGGCGGACACCATCACGACCTACTATGTGATATTGCAACTTCCTGAAATGATGTATTTGTATTTATAGAATTTAGTTGACTTTTGCTATTGTAAAACTCGGTGAAGAATTACTACGTATTACTTTTATATAATGCTGGAATGCTGAAAATTTCTGGCAACGTATAGTTATGAAGAAGGAAATGGCAATATCTCACAATCTACTAAATCAATTTTAATAATTCTATCACTATTAGAACTGGAATAACTTACTATATAATCTATTAGAAACTCAATTAAGTTTACTTGGTATTAAAAACATTCAATTGTAAGCTAACTGCATTCCAAAAGAATCCTTAAACCAACAAGTTATTACTATAAATATCCAAATTTTAGATATAAGTTACTGTATGTTTTATAACTTTACACAAAAATTAGGTATATTAATAAATTACTCTGATAAAAAAGTTTTTAATAATTTTGGCAAGAATTAAGGTGGCCAAATTTTTAATTTTATTAACAGTTAATAAAATTGGTTAGCTTTAAAAGGATTTAACAGTACGTACGTATTTTTTAAATTTTAATTAACTAAAAAAACTGTGTTAAATTTGCTATTTTTATATCCTCTAACTGCTTAATATGTATTAAATTGGTTAATTATTTGGTTTTTTATTATTACATTTTTATATGTTTTAGTTAAATTAACAAAGTTAATTTCTTTACGTAACTAAACTAATTTGATTATGTAACTATTACCAAATTACATACGGTATATATATATAGCATTAAGTTTAGTATGTTGGTAGTATAAAAAGTATATATTAATTATAATGTAGAGTCATTTATATTTCAATTTGTATTAGCCACTAGATAAAAGCAATTTTTTATTTTAAATTTTTAATCAATTAATGCTCCCGATATAACGATAATGGAAACCGTTTATCAATTATACGTACTGTATATGCGTGAAACAATGTTCCTGGATGTCATTCGAAACACTCAGTTTGAAGTGAGTAATAATTAAGTTAACTAAATATTAACTTTCGATTAAATTAAGTATTATCATTCTTTAAATTGTGTTGCGTATCTCAAGATAACACCCAGGGGTATTATTTCGCGTAAATACGGTAATAAAAAACCATAAATATTCCTTTGGGTTATGTGTGTGTAATTACAAAAGCTTTTCTCAATTTGTAACTATAGTAATCTTCGTACCGTATTTTTCAAGTTGCAAGTTTTAATCACTAGTAACTACTATGTATTTAATGTGGAATAATGGCTTATTCGTATTTATCACCCATTAATTACGTAGTAATTACTAGTAATAGTAATTTGCAACGAATTCAATACATGTTACAAATTTAATTAAAAGATAAAAATAAAAATTGCCACAATACAGTGCTACTTAATATATTTAATTAATTCGCACTATAGCTATAATCTCTAAAAATATGATTATTAATCCTAAACTAGTTAATTTAATTCGATAATTTATAAAGCGAATGTTGCTCAGAAATTTTTTGATGTGCACATGTACAACATCGTAGCAAGGGCAAAACTAGTTTTGAACACATGACGAAACTAGGGGAAACAGTTTCGAAATAATAAAGTGGATTGATCAAAAAAGAAGTTCATTGAGCGCACACTGTAGCGGACAGGATTTATGCTAACAGATAAATTCATTAAAGATCCTCGTAAAGCAGCTCTCTGGAGGGTTGTTGGATATTGATTACCTTACTACTGTAAGTATTCTATTACTGCACCCTGAGAATGCTAGCTATTGATTATCTAAATCTTATTTATATAATAGGTTAAGTTACCCAATATTTGATTCGAATTCCAGTATTATTAAACAACTTATAAGTATACTGCATCGCGGGATAACTACTCCAGTATATTACGTATCATTTATACAACATCACACAGGGTATCAATTTATTAACAATATATACCTACAGCTAATAAAATGCTACCTTCCTGGTGGCGAGTAAATGATATGTTGGAGAAATAGTTTCCGTGGATACCCCAGTAAGACTATGGAAGATTGTCGCGAGTTCACAAATCAGATTCCCTCAAATGATTGATCAGGTCGATGAAACCATTTTCTTCGTGTTAATAAAAATATCCCTTGTGAAATTTCGT